CATTACCAGCAAACTCAGCTGCGCTGGTCACTGCCGTCTTCCTGGATGGGGACCCCGAGACGGGCCACATCAATGGCTAGGGACATTATCAGACATGGCCGAGTCGCGCCCTCAATGGCGCTCATGCATCAAAGCTATTGCCTTCAATGCATGGCTCCTTTTCCACCCCCCCGCTTGACAACCCATTGACAGTGCTAGATTTATGCACCAATTTACCAGCTCGCGCGTGCAATGCGCAGCTACCTCCCCCTCCCCCAAATCATCGGTGAACGAAACTGTGGCAGCTACAACCAGTGTACGACCAGTGTTCTTATCTTACAGCTGACAATGATGATGATGATGATGAATAGGGACGTATGAGAAGCTGGTTCAGCTAACAACACTATACTTACATAACGGCTTAAGCTGACAATGATGATGATGATGATGAATAGGGACGTATGAGAAGCTGGTTCAGCTAACAACACTATACTTACACTAATTAACGGCTTATTGGATGTATGAGTAGCCACTGAAGAGTTTCAGATAATATCTGAGGTTTTCCATGAAACCACGCGATAAAATGAAGTTATATCTTTCAATTTGAGTTCCTCCATTGCCGGGTCTGCAAAGGCAACAGACGATGCTCTCTCTCCTAGCGCCTTAGTTAGCACACAATAAACGAGCGAAGGGCGGGTGAAGTTCTGCAAAACTGACCCGCAACAGAGTAAAGTTAAAGGATGCTAATGAACAAAAGGTGATTATCGTTAGCTCTGTAAGTTCTAACCAGATGCTAACGTGGACATCCGGGATAGAAACCTCATGTTGAAACGGATACGACGGGTGCAAAATGGTGCTACAGTAAGCAAGATAAAGTATAGCACTTCCCAGATTAACTAAACCGAGGAAAATTGATAGAGGGGACTGTAGACAAGGCCTAAGGTATAGAAATGTGACGAGTAAGGTATCGGGACAAAGTTCCGGTTACCTGGGGAACACGATGATCGAGTACAAGTCTCTCCTTTGTAGGTTAACCACATACGTATATACGTCCGCTAATGATAATGGGGCTATTTGATCAAGGGTACAAAAGGTCTGGATGTCGGACTAATCTCGCTTATTCGGAGCTTTACTTACACTGAAAAAGTCACGCTAGTTTTCTTGCTTGCGTAAACACATGACATGTTCACAGGGAGCAATGCTAAAGTAAAGCAACCGTAACCAAAAAGAATGGAGGACACCATAATAGATAACACCGACCGAGAGAGGAAAAAACAACCAAGTCAACAGTATGTACTCAAAAGAAACCAGAATGATCAGGCAAAGCTCAGTGATCATTCTATTAAGACGTACCTGTGCTTGCGATTGTGACCGAGATGTCAACGACTGTGGCGACTGAACTCGCGATGGTGACTGAGAAAGCATCTGCGTAGGTCGCGCTTCAGTCGGAGACAATGCAGGTCGTCCAGAACCATCGTGTAACCGCTTTAGTTTAAGTAGCTGACTTGCGCTCAGCGCGGTGGCCGGGGTACGACTATCATCTAAATCAGCCTGAGTGTCGGCTTCACCAGGGATTGTGGGTGACACTGAGCGTTGTTCGCTAGGCTCTGGGGCATTGATTTGAAAATGGATGATAGTTTCTGCTCTACTGGACTCCGTGGATTTTACTGGGGGTGTTTGTTCAGGATGAGTCTCGACGGTGAAGGGCATTGAGGGCTACAAACGGAAATCGGTGGAAGAAGACATGTGGCAACCAAAAAATTCCAAAAAGTTACACTTTGTTTAGTGCTACATACAGCCAGCGAGATCCGATACTACCTGGTCGTCGAAACCCTGGTAGCCGGGAAGCCCGAGAAAGCCTGTTAATAAACTTTTGGGCGTACTGGTGACTACTAAGTATTTCTATAAGTAGACAAACACAAATGCGGTTTAACAACCTTATCGGCGCCGCGGCCCAGAAAAGGGAAATCGATCGTCAAGGAAATCAGTATTGTAGTTATGATCACTTAAAGGAACCCATGATCAGAAAGTGTTAGAGTATCATTTTCTAATACAACCAGATTCGGTGTGAGAAGAATGATAGACGAGAGCGGATGCCTGGTACCATAAACGTTGCCTTAGGTACTCAATAAAGTTTGGATAAGCTTTTGTTAAAAACTATCCGTAGACAATAGATGAAACGCTTCGTTCATACCATGATTATTGACTCAAGAATGAAGATGCAGGCATTAGAATATAAAATGCAAACCACTGGGGCATACTAGAAGACATACTGGGCCCTCTGATTAGCCGCATTCCACAAGTAAGCTGGGTCAGAACGACTGTCCAGAGGTGTCCTAAGTCAAATGCATCATGTGATGCGAATACGACCCGTGTAAATTGAATTGCGGACACCTGTAATTCGATAGACAGATCCAGGGAACTTTATCAATCAAGCCGGCTTTGAGGCTCAAGATTTAGAGAAGACGTGTTTCTCCTCAGTGGCTTAAGAAGACATTTGAAAAGTAGACTACTGGCTTGGAAGTTAACAAACCTCACTCTCAGCTGTCCCGTAGGCCACAAGTGGTTTGGTGAGGGTTGAAGACGCGACTACGACCAGAGTCGATCTTATCTTGGACTGTCGCGTTAGTTCATAAAGATGAAAGTGGCATCTGATGATGATGAACCAATTCAACTCCCAAAGTCGCCCTCAATAAATTAGTGTTATGCCTCTGTACTTTCTGAACATGTGTACAGCTTCAAGATTCTAAAACTAGCAGATTACTCCCACGAAGTGCCGGTGTTCAACGCTGATGTTATGCTTTGACGCTAATGAAGAGGAGGATTATGAGGATGTTCGTAAATAAGGAAATTACAAGTAGGGTGATTAATCGTCCCACTCCAACGTAGAAAAGTTGTCATTCTTCATATCTATCTTCGACTTCATGGACGATGGGGACTCAACAGCACAAGCGGATCAATGTATGTTTAGGTAGGTCTTCTCTGGATACGATGGGATCAACCTAATTAGCGGACATCATCATGGTAATTTCACTCGTATGAAAGTGTTTGGATAAGTCAGAATCCACATTGATCTGGTACGGTGCCTAGCTGTTTCAATGGAACAGAAACTTTCTTGTACAGGGTTCACATGGAGGCCCGCATCGACTTGTTTTTGAGGTTGCAGAGATCCTTGACAAGCCATCAGATTTAGTGGGACATTGTCATCATCAGTATCATAATCATTACCATCACGGAGAGCAATATACCGTCAGCGCAAACTGGTATTTAACTGCCACAGAACCATGAAGACGGCCGTATTAAAAGAGCGAGTAAAAGAGAGGCAAGGTGATTGCGAAAAGCCTCGGAAAGATACCACTGGCGAGGCCGACCGAACGTCCTTCTCGAATCTCACCCAGAAAGTACCCAACACAACGAAAAATGACAGCAAGTTAAACAGTCCGGGGGAGAAGTGACTGAAAGCTCGCCCCTGTGGTTGGCTACGTACCATTCCCTGTGGGATTCGTAACCACGAGCCAGGTGAATCAGGTGGACGTTATACAAGGCACGAAAAACTTATACCCCACAATTTGACGATAGCCGCTTTCATGCCATATCATAGGCTGTCCCCCACGAACCTTTTACCAATCAGGGTTTGGAGCGGAAGGCAATGATTTCTTTGGTAGATGGTGGTCACGTAAGCATAATGCATGCCACGACCAACTTAAACCAACAAGCCTTATCCGCTGTCCGAACAAATGCGATTCATTACCTAGTACGGGCTTACGGACTGCATAGAGGTTTCGGTCAGTTGACAACTCTGTAGTAAACTACAGAGACACCGGTCGCAAGATAACTACAGATGTATGAGGTCTTCAGATCGGAAACCAAGTTTCACGACGGCGGGGTAGGACTGCTCCTACGATCGCTTTGTGGTCATCCCTTTAACCTCAGTGACATTCATCTGACTCAAGTTGGCACATATTACTCGTACAGTGGTCATGCGTGCACTGAATTCATTTGTCCCAATGCAGTAACGGAATATGCAGCTACCACATTAGTCGTAAAGAAACTTTTGGCTGACTTATTATAAGCCTTAACGCGAGCGGGTGCGTAGGAATAAATGGAGCGAAAAATACCGAGACTTTGATAGCAACCTTCGTTGACCAGGCAAATGCAGAAGCCCGTCAATGGGGTCGAAGGCTCCTTTAAAATCAAGGTAAACCACCATGGTTTGTAAAAGGTATGCGTGAAGCTACCCGAGAACATGACGTAACTTGGAAATGCAGTCAACACGCTTACTAGGAAAAATCGAAATCCTTCAGATGTAGCACCCTGCCATGCCACCAGAAGGAAGCACGACAGTAGGGATACCACAAAGCATAGACGGGAAAATCGAGAGGCAGAGGTCTGGTTCGAATCACGGACCTTCCAGTCAATAAATGAGCGCTCTAACCACTGAGCCATATCGCCCCACTCCCATTAAGGGTCGAAATCTAGCCTAACACTCTCAGTAACTGCGTCCAGTTTGACTATATTCGATGTCGCACTGTTAGTCACGTAAAAGAAACAACCTATCAATAGAGCCGAAGGTCCCCTTGAAGTCAAGATGAATCGTCACAGTTGATCGACGGTATGCATGGCGCCACTTAAGCGCCCGAGGCGATTGGCGGTTGGAATCCTGTTTTTGAAATTGCGTCCCCTTGATGGAGTCAGACGTCGCAGTATTGTTGGTGTTAGCAGCCGTACTACAGCTGGCCTATAGCCCTGTGGTTGGAACAGTCGCCTCGGATACCTTTGCGAACAAAGGTACGGCGAGTGAATGGAGCGCATTTTTGCCCCCAAATTAGTTTGAACAAACTTTTCGAGGCAAAACACAGACTCACCACAGTCAATTCAATTCAATTTAGCAGCTATAAACCGTGAGCCACAGGGACATTGGTTCCAGTTGCTACAGTTTCAATCACCGGAAAACGGGAGAGTGGAACATAAAACCAAACCTTGGAGGCGAAAGAATGTCCAGTTTGTTCGGAAATCGGGCAGCTACGCATTGAAGGCGATAGCTTTGATGCACGAGCACCACTGACTGCGCGATCGGGCCATTTCCATCAGTGTCACCAACCACTGGTGATTTGAGTCCCAGGGTCCCCATCCAGGGAGGCGGCAGTTGCCCACCCAACTAAGTTTACCGGTTAGAGTCTTCATACTTCGTTGTCAGGTCATACACTTACCACGTCTCGGTTTCTTCCACTCAGCACAGGGCTGGGCAAAAAGAGCCCAGCGAGAGGGACGATTTTCTGACATGCGAAGTGCATGACCCAACTATCGCAGCCTATGAAGCGTGAGTCATTATCCGTAAGCAGTATGATCCGTAAAGCAGTATGGATCGCACAACCGCAGTGTAAATTATTTCCTTGACAAACAAACTGACGTCACGTCGGAGCCATAAGTGTCGGTTGGCAAAAGCTTCCCTGGCCTTTCCTACTCAAGAAATCATTTCATCTCCAGCCAGTCCACCGGGACCTATACAACTGCCTAGGTAAACAAATTTATCTACCAAGTCGATTGGCTCACCGGCAAGCATGTGATGTGGGTGTGATCCCACCCAGTCTCGTAGCAGCACTTTACACTTTGCAGGTATGAAGCGCATGCTAAACCGTGCGGCAGAATTATTTGTTATTTAAAAGCATTTGCATTTGAGAAGGATCTGAACCAAAGGAGAACAATATCATCCGCATCGTCTGTGGGGGAACATCCCGGGAGCATTTCGACTCCCGAGGTTTCAGAAGCAGGCAGTGAAATTTCAAGCAGCATATCAATAACAAAGTTAAAGAGGAAAGGGGAAGGGAACAGCCTTGTGTTACACCACTGAACGTGTTCAACTCAGGCGAGAGCTTCCCGTATACTCGTGCGCGCCCATAGGAGTTCGCATACAGTGCCCTAATGAGGGAGAGAAATTTGGAAATGACACCTTTAATGGTCAGATACTGCCAAATTTGCTGACGATCGACACCACAGTCTCTCAATAAGACTGGCCCAGTAGCCCGATGGCACTTCGGGGCAGTAAGGCATATTGGCACCTCAAAAAATGAGGGAGGGTCTAAACACAGGACAGGGGTCGAGTCGAGTGAGTCAAATGAATGATATGAGAGCAGACAGCCAAGTAAACTATCGTGTGAAATACGCGACAAAACGGTCAAGACACTAATTATTGTTTCATATAAAATTTCCATCTCACAAACAGCTGGTTTCTTCGGTTCCATTTTGTGTACCAGAGGAACGAGTCTCCGGACATTCCCAAGTGTAGTAACTCGCTATTATTCCGTCAGGTTTCCCGAACCCCATACAGACCATGCTTGAGTTCTGAATAAATTACACGCAGGTTTCACAGAGATATGACGTCTCGAACCTAAGAGCGAAAGTGGCCGTTCTAGGATCTATTGCTTATTTAATGGATCTTTAAAAAGACATCGAGTTTCCTGCGCTAAGAACGGTAATGTTCATCTCGTCCAAATTACGATTATCTTAAAGCTACGCATATGCCAGCTCAATAAGACTGTTTAGTCTGTGGGTAAGGAAGTGCTTCGATGACTAAATGAGTTTGCATCTTAGCCCCCACCCCCAGCAGAAACCTGTCAAAAGGTTACACCGGACGATAACATGATTTAAACAGACGAGAGCGATCTAGAAAGACGAACAGTCAGAAACGGAGCCTTGTCATCGGGTGTCAGTGACTATGCGGTCAGCCTTGCTCCCAGGTTGGCTAACGGTAGGATGACACTAAATGGTGTCCATTATCTCCCAAGTACTACTGAGGAACAACTGGTGATCAGTACAAAACTGCAGAAGACCATCAACATTGCCATTAAGTTTTGAGTTCAGATTGAACATACCATGAGGCCCGTGAGACATCTGACTAGTGCACTAAGATCGACGGCTACCAGGACCGTTTCCGTACTCCTCACGTTGGATAGAAGGGTGGTTGGCTACAGGTAACAAAAGATCCTTCACCACCGTACTCCTCACGTTGGATAGAAGGGTGGTTGGCTACAGGTAACAGAAGATCCTTCACCAAATCATCTACATTACGAGCATTTCGGTTCAATACAATACCACATGACTGTATATATATATATGGGATGAAGGGTTGTACCTTGAATGTGACAGTCCGTATGCTTGAGAAGCAAATCTAAGGAAGGTCACGATGGTTATGGTATTTTGTGCTTAGTAATCAAGAGGTGTTACCGTCTCATGGACGAAGTTTTGTTTGAATGAACATCAGTAGGTGCACGCTGAGGTCACATCCTCCACTGTTTGTGACTCGCCTCGATACCCCTATCCAGAGAAATGGTATTTCTTATGAGCAAGTCTATGGCCTCCGCCCAGTATACCACGCCTGCTTCCTCTTTCCATGAGGAGCTTTACTGTAGTCATGTCCCAAAACTATGCCGACGTCAAAATATCGCTATCGTAATCTCCAAATGTGTGTAAAATAAACACACTTGGACAGGTGAAAACAATTTTAGCAACAATGATACTTACCACGTCATTGATTGAACGAGTGTTCGGTGATGTCAGTTCTAACGAAGACGAATCACCTTCAAACGCACTGTCAGAAGGCGCAAGTTCATTGGTTTCAAAGGCAGGACAGGGCTTGGGTCCACCCTGCATGCGGGCCGCAACTGATACGATACCACTGGGTGGTGGAGTTCCCGGAAATCGTACTGTATTTACAACAACGCCTAGATCGGACTGTATAGGCGAAATAGCACTCCCGTGAGTTACGCTCGCGGGTACCTGTTCGGAATGATGTAGTGAGGTTGATACAACTGAAACAGGTGTTGCTGATGTCTGCAGACGTCTGTACTGGGTAGGTAAGGTTGGGGTAGCTTGCGCATACATGGTGAGTGGAGGATTCGGTTCTTCAAATAAGACGGTTGGGGCTATGGCCTTGTTAACACACTGTATGACATTTGTCGAAGGAAGAGTGGAAGTGTTTATATTCGACTGACTAGCACTGGTGGACTGGTTCATGTTACAGGAAATGACGCCAGTAGTGCTAGGCGTAACAGATGTCGAAATGGGAAGGGTAACGGGCGGAGTACCAGGAGGACGTCTTCGGTTGAGAATTTTCGGAATGGTTGAGCTGCCGGTGTATACCTTCCGTATGACTTTACGTGGGCTGGGACGTCGAAATGTTGAAACAGATTGAAAATTTGTCATGCACATTTTGCCGCTGCGTTTGGACACAACATGCGACGTGGAAACGTTGGTACTGGAACTGGATGAAACGACACTCGCATGTGTATCGGGTACAGTAGCATCCGTAGTAGGATAGTCGCCTTTGGTTAAAGCTGTACGTTTATGAGCGGGCGTCACATCAAGAGTCAGAGAATGTCGCTCGGACTGTGCATTATTCGATCGTTTGTATGATAGTGAATGAGCCCAATTAGGGGAAACATGTGGAGAGTAAGTTTCGTGAGGCCATTGATCATGTCGCCCTTGGAATTTGGATGAGGATGCAGTATGAACGTAATCACTGCCTAGAATAGATGCTGCTAGTTTGCCATCAACAATCACCCTGTCTTCATTTGTGACCAATATTGAGCATGGTGATGCATCTTCGCCGTCCGAATGCACCTGACGAAGGGAACTCAACTGAATGTCGTGTCTTTTTAAAGTAATGGCAGAATCACTCAGATAACCAGATCCCGAAGACGTTGATTTGAAATGAGTGTAAATTCCACTAAGTGAACGTTCTAGCTTTGTCGTCGGTCTGTTAGACAATCGTTTCGAAAGGATGCGCTCGCTATGACACTTAAGAGACGCATCAGCTGAATGATCAAAACTGACGTACCTATGACGATTTGAGGAGGCCAAAGATCGGGGGCGGCGAATCACCGGCTCAGCTGATGGTGAAAACGTAAGTACGAGGTTGTATTCAGCATCGTTGTTGGAATTCCGACGAACGGAAAGAGATTGTACGAAGAACCCCGTTTTGTCCATCCGCTGAGTTAATATATCTAGTTCGTCAGCATTCAACTGTTTTATGTAGATTTCTTTGTCGGTCTGAGAAACACTGCAGTTTAAACCCAAAACCAGCCGATCTAATAGAGTTAACTGACACATTCTATCGGGACGACGAGAGATTTTCTGACGCGGTGACATGGAGCGTCCCTCGTGTTTCACAACAGCTAGCCTACGCGGCATGTTGGGGGAATTCACGGACTGACGGCTTTTGACAGCGCTGATCGATCGCAAATACTTTTGTTGATTCATGGGTACCACACCAGCCAACCGGCGGGAAGGAATTCGTCTAGAATGTACAGTCTTCGAAGTCCTTTTCTGGTACCATTTGGACGGACGAAATATTCTCCCGTAGGCATCGGCTAACCCAGATGCAGATGTCGAAGATGAATTTGACGATACATCTTCCAAATGAGTGGGAATGGTCCTTTCTATTCTCCAACATTCCCTTTCATGGTCTTTGGAACCTGGCAAAAATCTGTCTACAGGACGTTTCCGCTGCACAGTGAGAGCGTGTCGGCGTTTACGGCGACCAATACCGGAACGCTCTAATAACAAAAGAGGTTGATCATTTTGTAAAAGCGAAGGCGGCTTTTCGGGTTTCACTTCCTCTGGTATGCTATCCGCCGCCTCTGGATCGTCTTTCATCGGCGTTCTTTCAAGAACTACTGACTCCGAACACTCCGGTTCCGAAACAGTAACCATATTTTCCTGCATTAAAACAAAATCAGTGGAGTCATCAGGAGTATCTCTTCCTTCCAGTTGTGGCGACGTATGTGTTCTAACCTTACGCTTACGATTAGAGTTGCTGGTAATCAGTGGTATTTCTGCGGCGTTTTCCTTTCCCATTGAAGGGTAACAAAACTTCCAGTGAATATGATGGCTTACATCGGGTCGTCGTCGTTCGCGTGTAGCCTGGCAAACTGGAGGAATTGCTTTGCCTGACTGACGTGAAGGCCGAATTCTCCGGGGCAAGGTTCCCTGTACCAACAAACTATCCGATATTCTGTCAGATACGGAGCGCTTTAGCTCGCGAGCCACGATGCTTGAACTCGCAGACGGTTTTGACCTCGCCCTCATAAGCCTTTTCGCAGCGGTCAATCGTGCATTTGCAAGGACGACTGAACGCGAGCCTTGACGAGCCTTTTCAACGAAAGCTGTGGTTTCTAGGGCCTGCCGAGTACTTGAACTGGCTGAAAGAGCACTGCTATTAGAAATAATCATATCCGAGTACCGTCGAGGACGGGGATTCGGTCGCAAGCGACCCATAATGCTTCGACTGAGTTTCTTCGTTTGATCTTCACGCTTACGTCTCCATAGTTCACACACACCGGGTCTCAGCAGTCCGTTTATGGCGAGGAATAGATCTTTGGTCTGCAACCCCACAAAGTTATCACACGTATTCCAAATTTCTTCGAACACAGTTTGGACCACCGGCAGGTCGAAGAAGATGTCCGAGTAGGGACCATCCACAAAATGTGATTGTTTGTCCGTTAACTTCACCTGCGCCCGATCTGTTGGCCATATAACACGTGGTACATGACCATTTGCATTCACCTCACGCAAAATGTCCTGAAGTACCTCGTCCGAAGCTCCGTATCTCACTTGACCAGATTCATTGAAAAGAAACGAGGCAGGAAGTTGAGAAGGCATGCATGGCGTATCAACGACAGATTTGGGTCCCAGCTGATACGTCTTCGTTCTGGAATAGCATACTGTCGAGTGAACGCCAGTTACAGGTAGGTCTGAGACAGATGTAGAGGTGGTAAGTTGATACTTCATTTTATCGGTTGGCTGATTTCTGAATTTAGAAACAGAAGGTGGTCGCCCACGCCGCCTTTTAACACCCGTCAAATTCGAAGGGGAACACATTATACTGCCGGTAATCAACCTAGGATCATGTGGTGGGCTAACTTCCGACATACAAGTCTCAGGGTCAGATTTTTCCGGAAGGACGAAGGGCACGTCAGTCTCAGTGCAACTGAGTTGTGAGTGGGATTCACCGAAGCGAGCTGTACCCAGTGTACGACGCGAATATCCCCGTTTCGAACGGGAACTGCGTTTCAAAACGAGTGGTATGTTTGACGTAGTTGAGATTTTCTCGTCCTCTGCTTTGTTGGTTTGTGTACGGAAATTCTCCTTTGATGATGTTGGCGTGGATTTCTTCGTATACGAATAATGCCGTTTCCGTCCCCGCTGCCGAAGTTTTCCGCGGTCTGATTCACCAGGGGTCTTACATGTCGTGGAAACTGAAGATGGAGAGCGCATGTGAAGTAACGTTCCTTTCAAAAACGTAGCATCGAAGACTTCGGTTGAGGATCTGTCACGAAAACCAACACGAGTAACACGAGGAAGACTAACTTTTCCCGTCCTTCCTGATGGGTTTCGACTGAAGCGGCGTTTATAGGGCCGACCACGACGACAGGGTCCAACTTGCCCTGGCTGGGTGGTTTGCAAAGGCTCGTGAGCATCAATGTTTGCTGTCAATCTTGCATGGACAGGAGGTTTTCCTTTAACTTCGCCATAGCGTGTTGGCTTCCGTTCACCAGCACGTCGGGGCCCAAGTCCCAGAGCAGAAACGAAGGAAATTCGTTTTCCACGATTCCTGTGGGAAGAAGTAGTACTTACAAAATGCGGAACTGGCTTTAGGTGAAAAACATCGAATAAGGGTTAAATAAATCGACGATGGCATGATTAGCATGTAAAAATGAGTCGTTTCCAATATTACGAATCACAAGAATGAAATGAAAGTTATTGTCTGCGCTTAAGTGTAAAGGGAACTGTTCTGTTATGAGCAGAAACGGAAATAAGGCAATTGAGCCCACCTCAGGAATCAATCAAGAGAAAAATAATTGAATTGGGAAATAATATCCAAAATAGAGTTGAGCCGGACCGCAACAGCGGGACGATCCCTCTAAGGATCACTGACTCGGGGCATTACAACTCCCTACAAACATGAAACAGCACACAAAAATCAGTGGGATCTAGTCTTGGCTATAGGGCTCCAGAACAATCCCAAACATCACTAGCCACAAAACGCACAAGTTGTTGTACATTTGGCCGCAAAGATACCAGACCTTATTGTGGTATGGCGGTTTGTCTATCCCTGTGACCCGTTCGGTTATACTGAAGGGGTTCACATTACCACCCAGAGGATTTCTCAAATCAGATGGGTCAACAGATAGAGCTATGACGAACACAGTCCCCTGATCCTCCAAAGTGGAGATTGGAACATGTGCGGTAACTTTTTCCCTAGACCAGCCCTCCAGCGCTGATCTGGATTGTGGACGACTACCAAAAGTGACCGAATACCACGAAGAAAACATATAGAAGCACCGACCATCAAACCAGACTACGTTGGCTCATCGTGACTTCCTAAGGTAGGACGGCAACGGGACGACTGTGTTTAATAAACTATCTGAAGTGGCTCAGAGTCAGAACCTGTGACGCACACGCTGTGAATTTTGTCAAGTGTTCTATGGTCGCTTATTTCCTTTCGTGTATTGCGGCACACAGGCCTCTCAACATTTAGAGGGCTGACATATAAACCCAACAGAAACCTTGAACTTTGCAGCAACAACAGTCCTACCAATACTGTTGATATTCCAGTACTCCTAAGACTAGCATACCACTGAATGCAAACTCCCACATCAGCATTCGCCATGAATTTCAAAGGAACCCCCACACTGGTCATAAAATATATCCGCCATAACCTGAAAAATAAACTGCCACCACAAACCAGTGATACAGGTATACAAAGAACAAGTACAACCAGGGAACAAATTTTCTGGCGATTCTACTCTAGCAACGACAACTACCACCATCGTCATCAAAGATAGCGACATCAGTGTTGACACTGACGCTTCACTCCGTGGCAACTGATATTCCAGTACTCCTAAGACTAGCATACCACTGAATGCAAACTCCCACATCAGCATTCGCCATGAATTTCAAAGGAACCCCCACACTGGTCATAAAATATATCCGCCATAACCTGAAAAATAAACTGCCACCACAAACCAGTGATACAGGTATACAAAGAACAAGTACAACCAGGGAACAAATTTTCTGGCGATTCTACTCTAGCAACGACAACTACCACCATCGTCATCAAAGATAGCGACATCAGTGTTGACACTGACGCTTCACTGCCGTGGCAACCACAAATTTCACCCCCAGTGAAATATGCGATAACCCGGCCATGTGCTACACATGAGCTGTTATCTTCCAAGAAATGGGTTGTTTTCTGTTCAAATCAGATTGAGGGGAAAGTTGAGCCGGGCTTTCATGGGGTGGCTAGGCACTGAAGGGATGCTGCAGCTGAGTCACCATGTTTAGAGGTAAGCAATATACGGGTAAATGAACCATGACACGAAATTACAGTACGGTGGGTGCGATCCGCATTAAAGGGTGAGGCTTGTGCGCTCTTCGCCGTGCATGGCGACTGGCCGATCTAGACAAATTTAGTAGATGTGTAGACACCTCGGATATTTGCGATAAGTTGGCACCTAGGCCCCTCTCAGCTTTATTCCAATATAAGATTTCATTTAAACCGACAAGCTTACAGGCCAGTGAAATAGCAGTATTCTAAGTTGTTGTTGTCAGTGCTCATGGTAAGTCAAGAAAGCCTCGAGAAACTGTCCCGGGCAGAGCTGAGGAGAAGCCCGAAGAGTAATCTAAAGAGTTTGAGATCAATATTACTAGAGATGGTCCCCGCATAGTTGTCTGTGAAGAAGAGCGGCCAATATCGGACAATGAGTACCGGAAATGAATAAAAATCGCTCAGCTGTAACACCCTTCTAGTGCCTACCTGCCATGCCACCCGAAAGAAGCACGAAGGCTGAGATACCGTCGGGCTGCCCAAGCCTAGACAGGGAAAGTCGAGATGCAGCGGTCGGGATCGAACCACGGACCTTGCGGTTAGAAGAATTCGCGCTCTAACCGAGTGAGCCATCACCCGGGCACATCTTCGGAGAAAGACGAGGAGTAATTTAAAGAGCTTGAAATCAATATCCACAGAACTACTCCCCTCATAGTTGTTGGTGAAGTGGCTAGTATGGAACAATGACCACTGAAATGCTTATACATGCATCAAGGTCATAGAAAAGCAATGAATCCCAAAAAGCCGTAGCTTGCAAAGCACCATATAGGCAAACGAAATGTCAATCCCAACACTAGCTTACATAAGACAAATGATTCGAAACAAGATATAGAAGCCAATGCTGCTTCGTACACTGCCACAAGAAACCACCGACTCTAATGACAAAGTAAAAAGAAAGACTTACCGGGTGCGCATCGTTCCCACCTGAATTCACCTGATTAAATGTAAGAAAATGTAACCACCGTAAGCAAGATTACTACAATCCATGTTAAATAAAATGATCAAATGAAACCATTAGGCTATTCAGTATACGAACTGTCAGAACCTGAAAAATCAGGAGTAAAACATTTAATCTACAAAAACCTGGAAGTTAAAGCCACAAGTGGACAAGCACTTATTCCAAATGTGACCGAACACATAGAGCGCAAGCCAAACGCGAGTGGACAAAGACCAACAGCCCGTTCAAATACGGTAGCTCCAAAAGGACGTTATCGCACTTCATCCAGTTGGGGCTTGGGGCATGGAACCAGAGTGTTACCAGAAATAAAGATGGGGATTAACTCAAAGGATCAACCATTCTGGCGGAAATTTTTTCGACCGCAGGAGGGACCCTGCTTCTCTCGAAGAGTTGAACCATAGTCCACAATCTGGGCACGGTTCTTCGACAAATGCGGGATACATTAGCTCATATACTCAAGAATATGTTCGATATGAAATGTCCCCAGTATATATTTTCAGATTAAGGTTATCTTGAAAGAAAAACTTGCGCAAACCACTTAGAGAAACAAAGCAGGGAGGTTCTCAGCATTTTTCTTTTATCAATCAAAGCCACCAGAACTGTAATCTTCTGAGTGCAGCTCAATGGAACATCTGAAAACTGATGAGCGTCCTACTTCCTAGTATTGCTGCCGCTGCTCAGTATACATGGCTTAAAATCTGCAGAAAATGTTTCCAAATCCCCAGGGAATGACACGGTGTACAGGATCCCATTTCCTTTCTCTGTACCTAACACCACGAGCTTCTAAAAAGTTAATTAACCTGTAGCACTTCTTTACACCCATGAGTGGCTTTCAACACCGTGCTCGTCATTGGCGAAATCGTAATTCAAATTCACTGGATCTCCAGAAATGTCAATTAGGAAAATGAACAGGAAGAGTCCCAAGAATTGGAAGACCCCGTTTATTCCTTCTGCTTGTGCTAACTCCCTCCATAATATACGGGAAGTGCGGTCTTAAGTACTGCGTTGTACGCGCACGAACCGTGCGGCAAACTAAAATGCCTTGTAGCTTGCGGAGTCACTGTCCGCTTTTCACGGAGTCAGGCAAAATACATTACCACCGAGACACACCGAATTTTTATACGAGAAACAAAAGGTTAGCTGGACAGGAATTCGTTCGGACGACGTTTCTCACGCTGTTCGCGTGAGAACTCCTTCTGTTAACTGCGGACGGCAACCGGTATTCCCTCCAATAAATGTCTCAGGAATTACGGACGTCCGGAGTTTCCGCAGGTTCCATGCCCCTGCAATTGTGTAACCAGGTGTACCAAGAAACATGTGGTTCAGCGTTTTCCTGGTATCTGTTGCGTAAACTAATCAACGACCTGGCGACGACGTCTGCTAGGCTTCTCAATACGGTAGGAGTGTCCCATGGGATCCCAGCTTCCTAAGTGGATAAAGAACCTAGTCCTTGGTTAATCAGACCCCACACTACTTCCGTGTCAGCCACCGCAGCAGTGGTCCATACTGTCAAAAGAATAAGGACAAATATCCGTCATAGTACCAATAGGCTGAAGAGAAAAACCCGCCTATTCCTCACCGAAAAAACAAAGAGCATCCTTTCATAATGGATAGCGAACTCGATTTAATAAAATAGAAGAGAACTGAAGACCTGACCGTAAAAAATCGCTCATGAAATGCTCACAATGCAATGTTGAACACCCTTTATAAGATTCGGTTATGCCTCAGGAATGCACCGCACCACGAAACTGAAAGCGATGTGACTTGCGCGGGTTTTAACCGACCTACTCCTCCTCGACGTCGATTGGCCGGATGGTAAAACGAAAATTTTTTGGTTCATTCAAACCACTTGGAATGAACCATTGGGAACTACGCACAATGCCTGGTACTTTTGAGGTGTTGGATGGTTTATTTAATCAAATAATGTGACATGAATTCAGGGGACGGTTTCAGAACTTCCCAAGACAACTTCGCAGAAATGCTCTTGGTAAAAATCGTT